GATGGTTGGCAAAGTATGCATTTCTTTTCCGAATTAGTCATTCTGCAGTTTATCCAGAAAACGCAGTTGCTCTTCTAACCATTCAATGCAGATGGCAGAGTTCCCTTCTCATAGAAGTTGAAAATCAAATACAGTCCATTTTCAATGCAGCAACCAAGTTTGCAGCATTCGGGTGGCGTACATGTCCAATTATGCCCAATTCTGTGAGGAATTATTTCTCCTTCTTGTCCTTGGACAACCCCTTCACTGCAATGGCTCTTCCATCAGAAAGATCACCTCTGAACACTTCAGAATACCCACCTCGACCAACTATATAATCTTATACCCCAAAACCATTCAGGGGATTTATAAGAAACTTGATTTCAAACATCTCGATTTCATAAACAAATGATTAAAACACTTAAAAAGTAAATATTACTGCTGTCATTTTCACCCGGAGGGAAGTTATTTGTAGCATTTGAGAGCTAAATTACTTTATCAATGGATGCTCCTTTTTCTTTGTTGGGCAAACTGGCCTTTCTTTTCCTTATTGGCGAACTAAAGAACGATGAGATAAATTTGTAGGGTGATGTTACGTCCCAAAAACTTTTATAACAGAAATGGTGGTCACCGATGAAGAACAAAGAAGAAATTAGAGGAAGAAGAAAAAGAGTTGGTTACATAGAAGAGAAAACATAGAACATTCCAGAGAGAAGTTAATTGTATTTCACATATCAGTATGAATGATATAATACCCTTTGCTCCCCTTTTTATGATGATTATTCACCTTTAATAATTACATTTTGAAAATGTAAAAAATGCCAGCAGCTCTCACACTCTCTCCTAAACGGTTAAGAAAAATCTTTAAAATAAGGGCCTTAACACGTGATAAGCCTTACACGCAAGAAAATGAAATAATGGTCCAACTAATAAAAAAAACCAATCAGTACTTAAGCCACAGTTGCAACCAGATTAGATGTATCAATACTCCCTCCTTGAAGATGATCCGTGTCTTCAAGGATCCAGGAAGGATAGAATACCCATATAGTCAGGCATTGCCGGAACATCCTTCTCATCCTTAGAAATTCAATTTTACCAGCTTCGGTTGTTGTCATCAATGGTGTCACACTTGTAGTAATGACAACAGCTCTCTCCACCGCTACAAGTGAAGCATTTGTGTGTACAAATGTCATAAGAGCATTTTGGTATAATTTGGACACTAATCTTCTGGTCAAAGATAGACATAGGTAGCTTGTCCAACTCTTTGTACGCATACAGAAGAGTGACACACCTCTTGGCATAATATCCTCTTTTACAGTTGCCTTTGTATCATTTAATGCATCTGCAACTCTATCCTTTTCTCACCAACTTTCACTTCATTAGCTTCTCCAATCTTCAAAATAGTAACACAGCCAACAAGCTTTGCCAATCTTTCTTGCAACTTCTCCTTATCATAATTAGAAGTGATGAGTTCAATGGTTGTCTTACTCTGCTCGCATTTTTCTTCAATGTTATTCTTGTTTCCATCCCCATTAAGAACAACAATGTCACCCTCTTAGACATTAACCTTTTTGCAAATGCCAAGCATGTTGAGATGATCCACCTTTTCAAAATTCATGCCAAGATCTTTAGTTATAAACTCTTCTCCTGTGGGGACAATCAACCCATGTAGACTCACTTTCCCGTTTCCTCCAAAACCAGAAACTTGGATGGCACAACCTTTGATTCCAGCAATTAACTCGCCAATTCTGCTTTCTCCATTAGCTGATATTATTCCACCCTGAGCTATCTTTTCAGGTGAGCTACTCACCCGTGCTTGGCCTTTCCATTTTGTAGCGACAGCATCAATTGCCCTCATTATACCATGCCTTAAGTTCATTGTATTCATTCCTGCAGCAACTGACCTACATCTTGCTGTAAACATTGCTCTTGTAAACACAGTTGCACATGTATTTACTGTTGCATTGTTGCTTTTGTAAGGAGCACTAGCGGCTTCCTTGAACAGCACTCCAGCAGCTTCGAACAGAGCATTTGCAACATCAGTTGCTTCAGCACTAGTAGGTCCTAGTTCGTCTGTCTTGCTGTGCACAATACAAGTAACCATTGTAGACAGAATAACCCATTTCGAGTATAATACATCAGTTGCTTTAGCACTCATTGCATAAGCAAGCATCATTTCCCTATTTGCATCACCAATGCAGTTCAAGTGAGCAATCATATTGCCACTTGCATCAATTACTCGCATTTTCTCTTCAACAAGAGCGAAACCCATTTGTGTTAATAAGACCATTAGTAAATGGAGCCTTTACAGTTTGTAATTAAGGCTGCATCTAACTCCAAAGTACCTTTGGGTTCGTTAGTCTTGGCATTAGTAAGCTCAATAATGTTTGATTTCCCATTCCTTGAAAGAGTGATCTTGGTTGCAAATACTCCAATATGATAGTCAATTTCCCTTGGGTTGATCAACACCCTTAAGCCAACTTATCATTTTCTGGATCAGACCCGGGCATAAGTTGATCTAGAGCTTCAATAATAGTGACCTCAATTGCAAGAGCAGTGCATATATCATTGAATTCAAGACCAATATAACCACTTCCTACAATCACAATCCAAACAGAAACAAACTCCAATTTGAGGGCATGTTCACTAGTAACAATTTCAATTGGTTTTAATGCCCTTGAGAACAAAAGGAACGGAACTAGTGTCTCCCTTTACTCTTCTTGCTCATTACCAATAGTCTAAACTTATAAGGATCACATAGAATAACAACCCTATCTCCACTCAAACATCATTGAATGATTTCTTTCAAGCTTCCCACAAACATTAACAACCCCAAAAGTTATAGGTTTGGCCCAGTTTCCATTATTTTCAATCTAAATAGACCCGAACATATTCCCATCAATAACAGACCCCAAACCATAAATTAGATGTCTAGTATATTCAACCTTGGATGCATGAAATATTTGAGATACTAGCATGTTAGACATTGGTTTTTGTGGAAGTGTACTCAAAAGAAGAGAAAGGTTACCAGAGGCTGCCACAGAGGTGTTTGGTTCACTTTGCTGGTTTTCTTGCAAGTCCAACTCAAAGTCACCTGCCTTTGCATCATCATTTCCTTCGTTGATTATTGCATTCATTCAATCGATCACCTTAATAAATTTAGTGTTAAAACTTTTCATGTCAGATTGGATCCCTTCCCGAAGTCATTCAAAGGCACGATCAAAGCGCTCCATCAGTTCTCCCAACAAAATTTGATCATCTCGAAATCTAGTCTTCACCCCCTCGTCCATGGCCAAGACCAAAGGTTTGATACCAATATTATGTCCCATAAAAACTTTAATAATAGAAATGATGGTTACTGATGAAGAACAAAGAAAAAATTAGAGGAAGAATAAGAGGTAGTTACAGAGAAGAGAAAACATAAGACATTCGAAAGAGAGAAGTTGACTGTATTTCACATATCAGTATGATTGATAAAATACCCCTTGCTCTTCTTTTTATGATGATTTACCTTTAATAACTACATTTCGAAAATCTAGAAAATGCCAGCAGTCTCACACCCTCTCCCAAATGGTTAAAAAAAATCTTTAAAACTAGGGCCTTAACAAGCGATAAGCCTTACATGCAAGAAAATTAAATAATGGTCCAACTTATAAAAAAACCAATCCAGTACTTAAGCCTAAATTGCAACCAGATTAGGCACGTATCACGTGACATCTATTTCTTTATGCAGGATTGCCCTTTGAACTTTGGCGACCGAGGAAGGGGACCCAGACATAGTTGAGTTCCCAAAGCTAGAGCTATCATCTTCTAATGCTATTTGATTCTCCTTCAAGTGCATCTAGAACAGTTCTTGGTGAAGGCTTTTGCACCTTTCTTTTGGGGACAACAGGAAGGAAGATAGCCGCTGCGATCACTTTTGTTAGACCATCTTGAGCTTCATTGACGAGCTTCTGCAGAATCAAAATTTTAGCAGGAACGAAATTAGGCAAAATTTTATAGTTGGTTCAAGGGAAGTAAATTAACCATCAAAATGTGCACTTGAATTTTGCTGTGGCTGCCTACATTTCCCTATTGAAACCATTGTACAGCTTTCCAAGACATGCTCGAAACAGTATCTGGAAACTTTGTTTGGAAATCTAACCCTAGAAAAATGGAAAATCAAACATCAAAGAATAAAAGCCATTAGAAAACTGTACTGTCAAGCTGGGATAGCAAGTGTTCTTCCCTTTGCCTTGCTGTAATACAACACCAATCACCAATCCAGAGTAGAAATGGTGCATGCTTACAGAGTTTGATAGTCTTTAAATATATTTCATAAAGCTGAAAACCCAATCCCATATTCCATCATTTTTTCTTCTATTTGGCGGCATAGTAGGTTGCACAGAGCATGGACCAAACATTTTCATTGTGTACAAGTGAATTGCCCCCCGTTCCTTCAGCCAGTGGCCTCAACGTCAATTCCAAGCTTCATTTGTGGCATTTTTTCTTTCTTTACCAATTCTTGAAACCCATGGCATGGAGATCAATTTACAAAGGCAGGCAACAGGCAGCCTGGCAAGAATGTAATCACATGAGCAGAGATCACCAAAGCTTTAGGTTTGGCCTTGGATTATTTAACTTGCCATATTTTCCATACAAATCCTAGATTTTACCATTTTCTGGCTGACATTGAATGTTAAAGCTTCTTGAGTTCACTGCTTGATTCCCTAGATTGTGAAAAATAAGGGTATTGACAAAAATGATCAACGTAGCAAGAATGTTTTGAAGCTTATTTGTTTTTGTTTGTAATATGGAAATGTCCGTATGGTTACTGGTAAACCAGGTGTACCTCGGGCACTTTGTCTCGGTGTCCTTTAGAACAACTGGACCACAGGTTCAAGATTCGGCTGGGGATATTTTATAATGTGCTCAGAGACCACTTCGACCTTCAAGCCTTTAATTTGTTTGATTGAGCCTTAAGCCCAATATCAATTCGGCCTGGGGATGCCCAATCCAATATTTATCTATAATTACAACACGTTTCACAGGTCTTTCGTGCTTTACAGTCTTTTCCTCGCCCTCAAGTCCTAAGCCGTCTCTCTCTCTCTATAGAGTTTCGTAGGGTTAGGGTTTTAAGTTACGAACCCCTCAAAAAATGCAATCCATGGATCCGTCAAAGAAGCGCAAGCTGGATGAAAACGGTATCGTTTCAGCCATGTCGGGACCTGATCCAATCACCAAACTAACCCCACAAGACGGCCGCAAACTAATCGAGCGATTCACGGTCGATCAACTCCTCGACATCCTCCAAGACGCCGTTTCTCGCCACATGGACGTCCTTTATGCCGTCCGATCTATTGCCGATCAAGACCCATCTCAAAGGAAGCTCTTCATCCGTGGGTTGGGTTGGGATACTACAACCGACGGCCTCCGTTCACTCTTTTCCGTCTATGGGGAACTCGAAGAAGCTGTCGTTATCCTAGACAAGGCTACTGGAAAATCGAAAGGGTATGGATTTGTTACTTTTAAGCACGTCGATGGTGCTTTACTTGCTCTCAAGGAACCCAGTAAGAAAATCGATGGGAGAGTCACGGTGACACAGCTGGCTGCGGCGGGGAATTCGGGGACGAATAATAATCCAGTGGATGTTCATATGAGGAAGATTTATGTAGCCAATGTGCCGTACGACATGCCGGCGGATAAGTTACTGGGTCTTTTTTCTCAATATGGAGAAATAGAAGAGGGTCCTTTGGGGTTCGATAAGCAGACGGGGAAATCAAAGGGATTTGCTCTCTTTGTGTATAAGACGGCGGAAGGGGCTCAGGCGGCACTGGTGGAGCCGGTGAAGAACATTGATGGGAGACAAATGAATTGTAAGCTGGCTATTGAAGGTAAAAAAGGGAAGGCGGGACAAGATGGGATGATGCAAAGTGGAGGTGGGGCTCCTGGAAATGCAGAGATGGGGATGGGGGGACATGGTGGAGGATATGGTGGGCCTGGTGGACCGGGTAGTTTGGGGGGTTACGGTGGGTTTTCAGGTGGGCTGCAAGGGCCGCCTGGTCCAATTGGTCATCCTCATCACTTGAATTCTTCAGGAGTTGGGGTGGGGGCTTTGAGTGGGAGTGGAGGGGGAGGTGGTTATGGTTCTGGACTTGGTGGGCCGTATGGTGGGTATGGTGGACCTGGTTCGACTGGCTATGGTGGGTTAAGTGGTGCTGCTGCAGGGAGTGGTTTGACTGGTTCAGGTGGAGGGTCTTCATTGTATAGATTGCCGCCTAGTTCTGTTGGGATGCCGTCTGGTGGTTATCCGGAGAGTGCTCATTATAGCTTGCCTTCATCGGCTGCTTTCCCTAGTCAGCATCACCAAGGAGTTGGGACATCCCCTGTGCCAAGAGTTCCCCCTGGTGGAATGTATCCCAATGGACCACCTTTCTACTGAGGTAGTTCTCCTTGATTTGCCATTTTGTAGTTTCATTTATACCACATGAGGTGTTATGCGTTTTAATTTTGACTCTGGTGATTAGTTAGAATGAGTTAATGTCTGTGTTTGTGCTTTTTCATGTGCTTTTTTGTGGATATTTTTTCCTTGTGTGTGATTTCTTGTAACTTTTTGGTTATTTTCGAGCTTTTTTTGTCCTGAGTTCTGTTACTTCTGTGTTATATACTTGTATAGTTGTCTGAATATAGTGGTTTTACTTTTGGTTTTGGTCGAAGATACTATTTAGTGTTACATTTTATTGTGTTTTCAAATGCTTTTTCACTGTTTCACATTAGCTTTATATCTTCTATTATATGGCCATATTTTTGAATACATGTATAGATAGCCTTATTTATGTGTGGCTGATGGTTGATATCTATACTGCTAATAAAGCCTCTGACTCTGTTTGGTGTTCACCAGTAATGTGATACCAACACAGTTAGTGAAATTACCATAAAAAAGTATAGTAAATATATAAAATTAAGGATACAAATGTCATTTAATATCCCTATAAATGACGGTTTACTTATTTTTAATTTTGTTTTTAAAATATTTCACACATGCGAATGAAAAAAATGACTCTTTCATATAGTTACGCAACTTCTTTTTCTTCATTCTCCCTTCTTTATTTCTATTTGTCCACATGGTGGGTGTGCGAAAATCTAGATTTACTTATTTTAGTATGGCAGCAAGGGTTCCTTCTTTGTGTCTTACCCCACATAGAAATACTTTATTTGCCTTTTGAGTTATGGTGTTGAAGCAATATTATGATCTTATGTTTAATCATGTGTAAAGAACTGTCTTCAGTAGGTTTTGGGTTTTACTATTCATTGACCTGAACTTGTATTGATAAGAACATGCATTCTTGAAAACTTTTTGACATTGAAATGTTAGTAAATGTGTGTATGCATATAAGTCTTTTTGGTACAAATTTTGAACTATCTTGGTTGATTTTATTTTACTGACACCTACAACAGAACAGATGTTTACTATTGAGATTGGATGAGATGTTGATCTTTGCAATCATTTTTCCTAATATGATAGCAGTTTTCTTCCATGTTTGTGTTTTCTTGTCTGCTTTTCATGTTTATGTAGTTTTCTGAATCTCCCTTATTAGTATTATTTTATATTCTTATTCTTTATTGCCCGTGAATGTACAGTTTCAATCCGTAATGGTGCCTCCTATTTAGCCTTTATTTCCAGTTGAAACTTACCATAAACATGTAATTTTATTATGGTAGATTATAGCTTTGACATTCATCTTTCTAATGACTTTGCTTCTGGTAGTCTGGCATTTTTTTTTTTGCTGTTGATTTCAATTGTTAACTCATCCGGGGAATATTTATCCACATTGAATTCAAATGAAATCTAACTTTGTGATATTTGGTGTTCCAAACTCTCTTTTAGGAAAAGTTTGCCATCACTATGGGGATATTATGACTTTTTCCTGTTCTATGGCATTATGGTTTGTATGCTGTTTACATATCTCTGTATGTTCAATTGGGCACAATTGTTGCAATTGCTTTGTGTTTTTGCTTGTTCTTTTTGTTTGTTTGACAAGTGACGAAAGTCTGAGCTGATCCCTTCAAGTAAGTGCAGTGTTTGTTTGTTTTTGTTTCACTACTTTTGCTTTAATACATCGCTTTTCAATTAATGTTGATATTTGATTTGCTTGATGATGTGGAATGATGAATTGAGTCAATGGGTGTTTGATTCAGGTTTATGACAGCTTGTTGGGCGCAGATGCTTTTTGTGGTTCTGGTGATTGCGTGTATGCAGACTATATATACTCTGGCTTGATGAATGTATTAGCTGGGCTCTTACAGCCACTTCTCTTGATCTGCACCTTTAAGATGTTTATTTCTGAGTTCTGGTTGGCAAAACTTGTGATCTATTCTAGACTAGTTTTTCTATTTTCTATTAGGAACCTTTGTTACAGTGGGGCCTTTCAGTCATTACTATTGTTCTTTTAATAATATAAGTAGTGAGATAATGTTTTTGCCTATTTTTGCTAGTATCAATGGCTGTTACTGCATCTCCTCTACTTTGAAGTTTATTTGTATGTTGGTTGATATTGCTATTCATGTTGATTTTGCTATATGTACTCCGATGGAATATACTAGAAACAAACATGCAACTTATTTGTTGAAGTTAAACGAAGTTCTTTATTTTGATATATAAATTAATGGGCTGTAGAGAACCCGCACCAGAAAAATTTTACTATCTTTGTTGCTACATAAATGAGTTTTACCACTTAAGCTAAACAGGACCACTTTCTAAAGTAATTTATTGCTTTCTTGTTACAACTTTTGCTGTACCTGGCATAATTATGCGTTGAAGTATCCACCCAAAGATGTCTTCAAGATTTTTGTGTCATCATTTTATTATTTATTGGCAAGAGTTTTCCTATTCTTCTTCTGATACTTCATTGATCTTCCTTTGTTCAAGCAAAGCTATTTCTGGTTTCCTGAATGCATATAAAATTGGTAGGATTTTCACATAACATGGACTTTTTGAGTAGGTTCTTGTTTCAGTGAAGAATCTAATGATGTGGGAGCAGCAAGTATTTCATTAAGTGTACCAGTGATTTGTCGGTTGCTTCTTGATGTGGTGCTGCTAGTCTTGATGTACCTAATTGACAGTTTGCTTATTTTGTCATCTGTGCGGCTTTCGTTGGGTTTTGTTGGATTTGTAAATGAGCTCTTGCTTTGTACCAATTAATTGGCAACATAAAATGAGTCTCTCTTTCCCTTTGGTGGCTGTCTTTGTTGGTCGACTTAATTTTTTGTGCACAATGGAGTGATGGACAGTGATCGTTATGCATTGGAGTTAGGTGTCTTCATAGGTTTTGCAGGAGACTGGTTGAAACTTGAAAGGCTAGCTTTTAATTTCTATTTCTCTTCTATGCTGGTGGCTGTTCCGGCATCTAATAACTAGATTTCTGTACATCATGAAGTTTTTGAGTCTACGTGTTCAAGCCAAGGTCAAATCCTATTGGAATGGATGTTGATGTGTTTTTTAAAAGAATTTACATGTGTGATATGCTTGTTAGCCGATTATGATATATGCACCTATCCATTTCTCTTGGTATGTTCCTCTAAAAGGAGGTTCTTGTTGCGAATGGTTTGAGTGGCTTTGTAGAAGCCCTTTTAGCCTAATTTTGATTTGTAGTTTGCCAAATTATACCTGAAATGTAATTTGCAGACTGAATTATGCAAGTTGTCTGCATCGTTTTACCATGATTCTTTGTTGACTTAAATATCTTTTCTTAGGTGTTATCTTGGTTTCATAGATTGATGAAAAATGAGGCTATTTGGCCAAAGATTTTAAACCAACTACTCAAGAAATCCTGTTAAGGACAAAACACAAGTTAACTAGCTTCATTGTCACTCTTCTTTGGACTTACATTTGTCTATCTAGTTTGCTTTCAAGAATATTTTTTTTGTTGAGAAACCAGGAACGTAGTTCTCTTCTTTCCTCTTTTATTGTTGGGTAGGAAAGTTGTATGCCTGACATCTTTTGTTGGTGTTGGGTGGAATTGATGCTTTGATTCTATTCTAACTGGAGTTGGTATCTTCTTTTTCTCCCCTCCTTTTTTTTTCCCCTTTGGCCATTTGCTGTGGGAACACTGAGAGGATTATTAAACCAACCCCAAAGATAAGACGGAATCAGGATGAACCAGCATCCACAGCACTCGAAGCAAAGATGGAGAGGAGATAATTGAAGTGAGAGTACGCCCACTGGTTCAACCATAAAGAATACGGGTCATTGGTCCTGATGAGCCTGCCTGTAATCTGCTGGAGGAAAATGTCTGAGGTGGTGGTTAATTTGGTGTAATGAACATGCACTTGTCATGAAAACTCATTACTTGATCCATCTGGTTATAGTTGCGTTGTATATATGGATTAAAAGTGGGGATGACATATTTGGTTTCTGCAAGTCTATCGAGTTGGAAAAATCATCGGCCAATGCTGACAACACTGGTTATATGTGACAATTTCTGGTTCATGTTTGCATTTCCGACAAGATGGATCGAGACTTGCATTCAAAATCTACCGACCAAGTTACGGAGTGGTTGGCTTGTATTTAGTAACTAGAAAGGTACTGGCATTACAAAGTATGCATGTTTAAAAATATGACATCCTTATAATTTTTCCCATTTGTTATACACACACCGAAAGCAATGATTATGATACAAGCAGTCACGAATTTATTGTCAAAATTATACGTGTGAGAAAAGAAGACATTGTGGGTAGTAGTAACAAATGTGTAACGGCAATGGTGATGATAGGGAAAGTACTAATCAATGTATGATAAATCAGAAGATGAGGTGTGATGTCGACATGATTACTTTTTATTTGTGATCTCAGTTACTTAAACAACTTGACAATCTGAGTTTGTTTGGCAAGAAGGTTAGATTATTTTTGAGCAATTAAAAAATGTTTTCCAAATTTCCATTATTTCTTATTTTCGAAACATTTTATATAGTTTATTATATAAAAGAATTGTAGATCATTACTCGAAGATAAAGAGAATGCCAGTTTGGATCCGGTAAACTAGATTTCATGGAAATTATCACGGAATTTTAATGTATTAAAATCAGATTTATTCAATTAAAATATTTTAAAAATAAAAATTTATTGAGAATTTTATAACAATGGTTAATGGTTCAAATTCAATCATATGTTAAAATTTGGTGATAACTTTTACTGAACGTAGTGTATGAGACGAAAACTTAAGAATCGCAAATCGACCAACACAAGTGTTTTTTTTTTTTTTTTTTCAGAAAGGGGAATCAAGTTGTTCACTCATTTAAAGTCTAAAGACCAGTAAATTACTACTAAAACCCCCCGTTTTGTCCTCATAAACCCCCCCCCCCTCTCTCTCTCTCTCTCCAAACTCTGTGTTGATAAAAATCCAAGGGCGTCCGCCGTCCACCACCTGCTCCGCCCACCGGTAAGCAACCCCACCTTCTCTTTCTTCTTTTCTCTATCTGTGGTCTTTTATATATATATATATATTCCTTAGTAGTAAAAGTTAATATAAAAATAGTTATTCTTCTTCAATTTGGGCTCTCTTCCTATGGAAGTATTTATGTTTATACGTATATGTTGATGTAAAATCAAATTTTATTTATATAAAAAAAAAAAACAGCTGATAATTCTATAAAAATTCAATTTTTGGATGATTTTTATACTCTTTGTATATGCATGATGCCAGCATGATCTAATGTACGTATGTATGTGTGTATGTAAGTGAAAAAGTGATGTGCATTGTTATTCCCTTTTCCTTGGGAAGGTAATAAAACGAAAATTACTACTTCTTTATGGTGTGTTTGTAAGCAAGAAAGGGAAACACTTTTCTCGTTGGTGTTGTTTTAGAGTGAAGTGATGATACTTATGGGTAGCTAAATATATATATAATAAGTAAACAGTTTTTAGTAGGTAAAAACCGATGAAAACTGGGTGCGTAACAAAATGTTATTCTTAGTTTTCTTAAGATGGTTAGCCATATGGGTATTGTGATTTTGAATACTACAAGCTGTTAGTTTCTGGTGTGAGTGAATTAAGATGCAATTTTCAGTACTCTGTTTACAGTTACGTATGATGAATTAACGGTACTCTGATTGCTATCATTGTGATTGGGAAGACATAGTGGTTGAATCAATTTTCACAATCTATTTTCACTTTTTAATCGACCTTTAGTATATTGTTGCTTACCTCCTATGAAGCTTTTCTAGGCTCAGGAGTTGATGGTATCATTTATCTGGGATTGCTTTCTTTTCTGCAAGTTATCTGTGTGGACACTACAATTTGATATTTCTCAGTGGCTTTTCAGTATAAATTAATGATCGCGGAGCAGGAATAACTCCATATACCTTTTACAAGAACTGAGGTATGTTTGGTATTGGCTTTGACAATCTGATATATCTCATTGATGGATCTTAAATATAAAGGTATAGGCTGGGTAGGGGGCATTTACCAGAAGTTTGAAACACTGTGCCATGAGGTGGATAATATTGTGAACCAGGTACTAATTCTTTGATCCCATTATGAGTGACGCAGTCCCCACCCCCCTTCCTGCCATCTTCATCAGCCATGCTGCGGGTATCACTTGGCTGAATGAAATTATGGGCGATCAGTTGTACTTTATGCACCTAAGAGTGTGCATGCTTGCTGGAAATTCTTTCATAATCTTGTAAATTAGTTTTGTCTGCAGGACACAGTCAAATATGTTGAAAACCAGGCTCAAAGTGTGGGTAAAAGCATGAAGAGATTTTATTCTGATGTCATTCATGATATATTGCCTCCTTTAAAACATGAAGGTCAAGGGGTGGCTTTAAAAGAAAGTGCTACAATTGATACATACGTGAAATCAAAGGCCGCTATTGAGGAAGATCACATCGACACTGTTGGTAGGCTATCAAATGTTGAGCCTGTTGCAGATGTTCCCTTTGAAAAACAGCTTGATCATGCTTCTAAAGAACTTCTTTCAGTTCAACTTAGTACTCCAACTTCTGTTGATGCCTTTGAGGGGGCAGAGTCTGACATAATGTCAGTACAAGTTACTGATGTTTTGGAAAATACAAGCTCTGACGTAAGCATAGAAGAAAATGCCATAACAGAAAAGATATCTGCATCTGAGGTGCTAGAGTTGATCTCTCCTAGTGAGGAAGAATCCTTTGGAGCTTCATTGGCTAGTGAGTTCATTGACAGTAATAATAAAAATTCATTTGGGTTTGTGGATGAAGTTTCTTTGACGATGTCTGTTCATGATATGGAGTTTCAATCGCATCAAAAAGAGGGAACTGTTAGCAATAACATTGCTGTTGATGTGGTAAAAAAACAGTATGATTGTGCTTTCAGAGAGCTTTGCCTTGTAGACCAACTGGGAAACCCAAATTCTGTGCATTCCCTTTTGGGGACAGAATATGTACCTTCAAAACAAGTTGCTGATGCTTTGAAAGATGCAAAACCTGCAGTGAACATAGAGGAAAATGTCATGATGGAAAAGCCTTTGGCATCTGAAATGCCAGAATTGATCTCTCCTGCTGAGAAAGAATCCATTGGAGCTATATTGTTGAGTGAGGACATTGATTGTAATGATAAAGAACCTTGTTGGGTTGAATCTAAGGTTTCTTCTGCAACTTCAGTTCATGATGTGACAAAGCCATCTGGATCTGATGTTTTGAGTGGTATTACTTCTCCTGCAACTTTAGTTCATGGTGACCAAAATGTGAGAACAGTTAAGAATGACTTTTCAGATTATTCTGGGTGTGTATCAGATGCTTCAGGTGGTATTACTTCTTCCAAAATGACTTCTCCAGTCATACTTTGTGAGGAAAATATGGCAAAGGTTGAAGTTGATTCTTCTAGCGGTTCAGTATTTAAGAAATATTATTTGCCTGAGAATTCACCTGAAAAGTCACCCGCAAAAGCATTACTTTATCATGATTCATCTCCTGTGTTGAGCGCACTTCTATCCAATGAGAAGAAATTGAAGGGGCCAGTACCCATTTCGTCTAGCAATGCCCTGTCCTCAGAATCACTTGGTTGGTATCCTGTTCTTATGTAATGATAAGCCTCTATTTTGTTTCCTTATGTAGTCGGTTTTCATCTCACCTGTAATCTGGCAGAAAATGAAGCCTCCAAAATTGTTAATGGTATCGAGTCTCTGACTGGAATATCAGGTAACAAGAATATGTTTTTTTTGGCAGTGAATCTGCTCAATTCCAGGCTTTCTCCTCTTTTGATATTGGTACATTAGCTAAATTCAAATGCGGGGTAATATATTTAAATGGTTAGGTCATTCAGCTATGTGATCATAATAATGTATATATATGTGTGTATTTCTAAAATACAAAGTCAGTAACCTTTGCCAATGATGAGAGATTTCCTTAATATTATGCATATTTGGAGGACTTTGTTTGTACCCACCATAAAAAGTTCTGTATTCCAAGTAGTTTTTGATATTCTCGTTGGACTAAATGTTGACTGGAGAGCTTTAACTAATTCTTTTACTTATTTAATGTTGAAACCATACGCAGCACCTATAGATGATTCCACTGATGATATCAGTATTTCTTCCATGGAGACCATTGCATTGTGTGATGAGGTCAAGCTTGAGGATAGCTGTGTCATTGTTGATACTACTGCACTTTATGCTGTCTCTCGAATAATGAAAAAACACAGATCATACAAGGTCTCTCTCTCTCTCACTCACACACACACACACACACACAGTCTAATGCATTCGACATCTTACTTTTCAACATGACAAAATGTGATAGCAATTCTCTAATTGAATTTGCTGTTTAATCGGTATCAAATTATACTTGGTGAATAAGTTGCTTATAATGAGAAAATTATATGCTAACGATGCAAATAGAGAATTAGTATTAAGTATCTCCCTATACAAGTTATATGCCAAGTGTCTGAAATACTTACAATTTGACAATCATAGTTACTTTATTCATTTTCTTTTCATTTGTTTTTGTGAAGGAGCTAATGGCTAATGCAATTGAATTTCGTTTCAAATTTATGGGAATTATTAGCAATGATTAATGGTGCATTTAGATTAAAAAATTTTGATAATCTTCCCCAAGATTCTGAAATAGAAGGATTTAGAAGTTGAGACTGCATCAATTGAGATTCTATGATTTGAATAAAGATAAGTTCGAAATGAGAAATACTTTCTATGTGGATGTCCAAGTATCTGGTTGAGACTTTGGTTTTGGGATTTGAGACCCATACTTGTTGGACGTCATTTCCTAATGTGGTTGCATGAACCAACTGAGCTATAGGTTTAACATACATTTGTATATAGATGAAAATGAACTTTAAGCTACTTTTGTGTGATGCTTTAGATAAATTGGACCCGACATAGGATCTCCTATGTCATACCTAATAGCTTATTTTACCTCTTACTTAGTATTTGGCTGATTTGATTTGCCTGCTGTTGCTTTCTTATTCTTTTTCAATAGAAAAGGATCCAGGATGCCTTGACATCAAAAAAGAGGCTGGCAAAGGAGTATAAGCAGCTAGCAATTTGGTTTGGAGATGCAGACATGGAGTCAAACAACGATAATTTACAAACTCTACGGCCGTCTTCCTCCAGCACAACCTTGGAATGCAAAAATCTGCAAACAGAACTTATATGTGATTCTGAGTGGGAACTCCTCTGAGTAAATAAAGAAATTATGTTGCTGGCTTCAACCTGATTCATCCTGCCATAAGAATGAGTTACACTGTGAATAATCATGCAAATTTCCACCTTCTGTAAATCTAATAGTCTGTCATAAGTGGCATAACATTTCAACTTTCAACTATATATATCTACTGCTATATATTTTTCTTACACATATTCAGTGGGACAGGAGCCATCTCTCCTGTATTCTGACAATTGGATGATGTTAAAAAAATGTGACATTGATTTTGAGGTCTTGTAATATATCATGAATTATCTCCATGATAGCTAGTTTAGAATTGGATTCTGTGTCCCAGTATGAACCTTGGATCGGGTAAGGCTCGTTGCAGCAGTTTTTATTGCTGCCTGGCTTCCATTCCCAACTCCTGCAAAAGAAAATTTTACAATTAAGTTTTTTTTCCTTGCTTCAATGAAGATTAATGTTCTCCTAATCAAGACTGGAACTGTAAGTGGCATAGAAACAGGGAAGAAATTAACTGGAAGTGAGTTAAACAAAAATGGAAAACAAAGACTTGCTAGATAACAAGTGAAAGACCATTTGCGGATGAGGATTAACGTTGGATTCTAGCCAATTTGCTCAAATTTCCAATGCAATTCTGCAAGCTGTGGTGACATTATATTCCTAAACATTGTCCACAAATTTATAGCGGAAAGCAATAATCAGAAAATGAAACTATTAAGTTCTGTCAGATTCCAAAATTTCTCCTCAATTTCAGAAGTTTTGCAGCCGGAAAAAAAAAAAAAGAGTTCGAAAATCAAATACAAATTTTCTTGCCCTGTGTTTTAACTGAGTTTAGGATATTATGCTACAACTATGGTGAAGTCTTTAGTTCCTTCTACGCTATACTAGAAATTCCATGACAGCTTATTAAAAGAAATCTAAGACAATGGCATTATTACAGTCTAGTTTAATATAAACAGAGTCGAAGTGAAACTCTACTGAAATGACAGAGAGAAAAGAACAGACACTGGCCTGTAGTTATTGCCATGTTTGGATATATAGTCCAAGGTTCACCAGACGTTTTAGTAGACTATGATTTGTTGCATAATCTGAATTAGATTCCACAATGAAAGGAGCCCAATAGTACTCAATTGATGAATTGTACTCCTGAATTCAAATCCAGGATAAGGAAATCAGGAATCACTTTCGTCTCTCTCATTCTCCAAACTAATCACTTTCATCTCTTCTTGTCGCGGCAATAAAAGCTTCACCGATCCAACGACGACTTTGCCTCTTTCTTCTCTTTCTTATCTTCCCTCTCTTTCCTTGTTTCTTAAACCTCAACGAACTCTCTCACTATATATCTCAGTGCTCCAAACAAAACATACGACCCGCAGCTACCGCTGCTGCTGCCGTTGGAGTCTTCGACGGCTGCGCCCACAAGCTAAGGAGAAAGCTTTGAGCCTGAGCCTGCACCTGCACCCACCTGCACCTGCACCTGCACCTGCGCTGCTCCCACTTCCAGCGCCTGCGCCGGACCCAGCATCCTAGCTCGGAGTTTAGTTTCTCAAGGTTATTTCACTATTTTCTTTGATTTTTCTTTGTTAGCTTAAGATTTAAGATTGTACCATAAATGAACACAACATGAAAACAAATTAACAGCGTGAAAGTTTTCATTTTTCTGCAAATTTTACCATTAAATATTTGATATTTCTTCAAGGTCAACTGATCAAGTTTCGTTCAAGTTCTGAAACACAGTTTTGCATGCTTTTGAAACACATTTATTTGTTCAAAATCTTCAATATGTTTTTTATTTCTATTTAATTGTGTAATTTCAATTGTTTATAGGTCTTTTAAAAATGTCAACAAGTGGAAATGTTGAGATTGTTCGTACGAATGATAAGATTGCAACAGGGTCACTGACGAATAGAACCGACATTCAAGTTCAAGTTCAAGTTGGGGAAACACAGTTATACATGCTCCTAGTATGCCCTGTAATCCTCCCCCATTACCAAATTCAAGTAAGAAAGAACTCGCAAATTAACTTCAGAGGTTTGAGAGCACTTTGAAAAGAAAACTGTAAATGTAGAGGATGTGGCAATTTGCAATTATTGTAAAACTACTACCTTGAAGGATGCTTTGAAAAGCAAGTAGTGTGGACAAGAAAAATGATGGAAAGATTCGTTTTGGAAATTTCACATTTGATCAAGATGTTTCAAGAAATGAGTTGGCTCGTGCTATAATCTTGCATGAATATCCTATTTCTGTTGTAGATCATGTTGGTTTTAGAAGATTTGTCACTAGTCTCCAACCTCTTTTTAATATAGTTTCTCGCAATATAATTGAAGAGGACATTCTTTAGATTCATAATTCAGAAAAGACAAAGCTAATGAGCGTGTTTGAGAAGCTAAGAAGTCGAATAGCAATCACAACGGAAATGTGGACTTCAAACCAAAAGAAAGGTTACATGTCCATGACTGCTCATTTTATTAATGACTATTGGGAGTTGCAAAGCCATATCTTGAGGTAAAAAATTCTTTTGAACCCTTTAACATGTGGTACACTATTCATCAATATCTTCATGAACAAACTATTAGCAAATCAACTAATGTTACTTTTTAAAAATGCAGGTTTATTTATGTACCAGCACCTCATACCATGGATGTTCTTGCTTAAGAATTGATGACATCATTGACTCAATGGAATATAGAGACCAAATTTTCTACTATCACTGTGGTTAATTACAGCTATAATGATGGTATGGTTTCTATCATAACAGATAAGTGGTATTCTGAACTTTTACTTCATGGGAAAATCCTTTACATGAGATATTGTTCACATATGTTGAATCTTGTTGTGAAAGATAGATTACCTATAATAAAAGGTGCAATTGATAATATTCGTTATAGTGTGCATTTTGGCCAGCAAGTCCTTTTAAAATGGAAAATTTTGAAGATGTGGCTCGTCTAGCAATAGTGTCTTGTTCTAAAATGTTAACTCTTGATTGTAGAACTAGGTGGAACTCAGCTTACTTGTGCTTCAGACTGTTATAGGATACAAAGATCTTTTTCCTAGGTTGACACTTAGGGATAAACTTTACACTAAAGTGCCCAGTAAGGAAGATTGGGAGATGGCATAGAGTATTGTTGAAAAGTTAGAAATCTTTTATAATGCCACTGAATTGTTTTTTGGGGACAAAGTATCCTACTGCAAACTATTATTTTGTCCAAATTTGTCAACTTTGAAATGCACTAGTGAAATGGATGTGTTCTACTGTTGTTGTACTTAGTGCAATTGTAAAGAAAATGTTTGACAAGTTAGACAAATATTGGAGTGTTATTCATATTGTGTTGGCTGTGGCAGCTGTAATGGATCTAGGTATACAATGAAGGTGGTAGAGTATTACTTTCCAGAAATTTATGGTGATGATGTGGCTTTTGATATTGAACAAGTTATGTGAACTTGTTATGATTTACTTCATGAATACTAATATAGATCCTCTAAACCAAAACAACATGATTCTTACACTGCATAGTTAACATCTCCACAAGAAGATCTTTCCAAGTTGGTTGCATTTCTTACTTCTTCTACTAGTGTTGATGTGAAGTCAAAATTGGATCACTATCTAGATGAGCCAGTTTTGCCATGGACTCCAATGTTTGATATTCTTAACTGGTGGAAGACCAATGGATTAAGTATCTCACTTTGCAAATGATTGCTAGAGACTGTCTTGCTATTCCTATTTCTTCAATTGCATCCGAATCAACCTTAGTTCTAGTGAGAGAATAGTGAGTCGTCATAAAAGTAGGCTTCAGCCGAACATTTTGGAGGCATTATTGTGCTCCCAAAATTGGCTAAGAATGAAATAGAAGGTAAATAATACACCTTATATTTCTTTTTTATTTCTTTTTTTTTTTCAAAAAGTAGAATCTATTATTATATCTCATCTCAAGAATTACAATAATATTTATCTATTTTATTTGTGTAAGATCAAGTTCACCTGTGGATTCAAGTTGCACGAATTGTTGATGAGGAATAATTGTTTTCTATGACTTAAAGGAATTTCAAATTTGGCTGTTTTTTTAATCAATTTATGTTTGTTTTTAGTTTCATAAACAGATTTCTATGGTTCAAGTTGTTATTTGTTGTATTTTTAAAGTTGTTTGTTAAATTATGACTAAACTTGAATTTTAATTTTAGTTCTTGCTTGATTTTATGTCCTTAATTAATAGAAAATTGCATAAATTGGATGTTAAATAAATTGCTTTTCTTGCTCGGGTTTGGGTCAAGTAATGAGTGTTATCAAACTTTACCTTAATAATTAGGTATTTAACAAGTATGAGTATTTAATGGGTATTGTTTGGGTAGGGTTCAGGTAGCGAAAATAAATAATATCCAGGTATTTATTGGATTTGGATATCTTGATTATTAATTGGTTGAGAATTGGTATCCCAAAAATAACGGGTACCTTACTCGCTGCCATCCCTACAATTGGTTTGGATATCTTGATAACTAATCAGGCTTGGAATGAGGATCCGGAAGGCCTTCTTCAAGGGATAGAAAGGTGCCTAATTGTAGTATATTATTACTGCTTTGCATCTTCTTTTGCTAGGCTTTTCTTTTTCTGGCTATTACATTGAAGGAGAAGATATATTTCAATTTCCAACATATTTTATTGTCAATGTATAAAGCATTATCAATTCCATGAAAAATGTTTTGAATTTAAATTGTTTTTCAATGCTAATATCAATGAATGTATGCTACTGTGAGGGATTGAGTGTTTTTGTAGTGTTATTTGAAGCTTTTGCATTTTGCCGTTGTTCTTTGACATTTCATTATTCAATGCACACCATAAGATGCACCTTCAAATTTTGCAGCCATTATTCCTTTTCTTTTTTTTTCATTTTAGTCTTTTAAAACGTATATATACTCTTTAGGGTGCACTTTTTTGGTTAAAGAAATGGTTTTTGAACCCTTAATGTAATGGGGCATTGATTTTTTTTCTTTTACAGTTAATATCAATGAGGCATATCAAGGCATTCTCTTTATTTTCAGTTGACTCTTTGTTTCTGTGGTTCTGATTGACTTCACTGTTTAAAAACTTTTTATTATTCCAATGTAGACTATTCTGTAGGACAATTTTTTTGAGGATGCTAGGCAACTGATGAGATATTCTTGATGGTGGCCATGTTCCCATTGTTACTGGTGGGACTGGATTGTATTTGCGATGGTAATGTTTCCACATATCCTTTTGCATAGGTGAGTTTGGTTTATCCTGAATATAACTACTTGAGTTTTATAAACTAATTTGCTTGGGTAGCGATTTGCATTTTCTATATGGTTTTCTTCTCCCAGCTTTTACTATCTCTCAGCACACATGTGCATATCCTTTCTTCTCTGCTTTCTGTGTCTTTGTTAGAACACCTGGGGTAGCATTGTTCAGGTTAATGTCTTGTTGCAGAATTGGATTTTTACTATGGGTGCTTAATGTATAGTTGAATTTTCTTGCTCAAAAGGTGCTGTAACACAACCTAAATGGAGATATTTACTCTTATCTCTTTTTTGATAATGTCAGGCTTATGTATGGAAAGCCAAATGTTCCAAGGCCTCTCTGGAAATTGCAGCTAAAGTACATTCCGAGATTGCTGATTTTGAAAGAGATGGGAACTGGGAGGCTGCTGTGCTGTTGGTGGTTGAGGTGGGAGATGCAAAGGCCCATTCTTTGGCTGCTAATGATTCGTATCGCTTATGGTGTGGCCTTGAGATAATCAGGGTATGATTATTGAGATGTTTTAACCTACATAGATCATTGGTTGCATTCTCTATCTCTCTCACCAGACAGACATGCATGCACATAGAGCTCAAATGTCTTGAGAATAGGTGTTCATTTTTATTTGGTGTCTTTTGGCGTGAAAATCTAGTGGATCCGCTCAATTTTTCAAATATTGAATGATTCTTTTTAATATCAATTTGACTTAAGTGAAACAACTGACTCTCGAGACTCGAACTCTTCTGCTGATACACCTGAACAAGATAAAGTGAAGGATTTAGACATGAGTTCATCTGTTTTTTCTTCTCAAGCCCCAGATTTGATCTCTATAGGTTGATTGATCTGCAGTGTGAACATATGCTTTCATGTAGGTCATATTGCTTTGATCTATATCTTATAGAATTCCCAAATGTTGTATTCTTTTAATTTTCTGCAATGTATACAATTATCTGCCCGTGAAATATGTGTTGATTTTCAACAGATTTGACATGTGTTCTTTGAAAAGAATGTTCATATTTTATCATAATTTATAATAATTGGTGGCGTATTAAGTTTTATAATCAGGAATTCTTGTGAATCTCATTTAGCTGTAGCTGTGTTTTTGTGCAGTATTTGTCTTCCTTTCTTAAATAAAAAACTCTTCAGTGGTATTCATTCATGTCACTTGGTTTTCAATTGTAGAAACAGATGGTACTTTGTCTGAGGCTATATGGCTTCTGGATACTGGTCTTCTTCCACATTCAAGCTCTGCAAGTGGAGAAATTGGTTACAGACAGGTATATTTTTATATGCTTTCTTGCTTTTCTCGCCTTTTACATAATAATTTATTTTATCAATGTGCAAAAAATGGTACCTTTCAGATTCATTTCTTGTGCCTTGTAATAGGCTTTTTGTGAATTCTGTCATATGTATTCTAGGTCATTCCCTCTTAAAGTAACTAGACAAAATCAGTTTAATTATTAACTTTTCTTCTAAATTTTGAGTTAATAAAATTGAATGACAATTAGTGAAAAAATCAAGTTGAAGCCAAATATCTTGAAACTAGCAGTCCAACACAAGAAAAATGCATGTAATTACCTGGTCAACAGTGACTTTGACATCTTTCGTTGTGTTCTAACAGCTAAGGCTGTCTGACATTGGCATCTTAAGTCTTGAACTGCTTCATGTTGTTTCAGCTTTGCAACTTTAATGTCTTAATAGATTTCTGGTTAATTCTGCAGATATGAATGCTGAGTTAAGATGACTGTGTGATGAATTGACTAAAAGGAATCACTACATTGCTTTTGTTGTTACCCTATGCTTATTTTGATCTGCTTTTACTGGAATGCCCAATTAACTTATTCAGTTTTTCACTTATTTTGCTGAATTTTTCTCTTTACTTGACATTTTCTTTTGCTTTTCCAAAGTCTGAAAATGAATGGCAGGGCTCATCTGCTAAAGACACTGACATGGTTCTGTAACGAGAATATATATCACTGGTTTAATGCTTCTAGACCACTGGTATTTCACTTCAAGCTTTGTTTCCTTTTGTTTGTTAATAAAATCGTACTTTCTGCATCATTATCAGTAGATAATTAAATCGTTCAGCCCAGTGGTAAACAAACAATTTTATTTTTTAATTTTTCCTTCCCACAATGCCTTTATGAAGCAAATTTTTTGATGTATGGTTTTGTAGTATGATATTTATGTGATTTTGTATGGTCATGGTTACAAAGACTGAATGCTATACTTAAATTGGTTTAGTTAAAGGTCTATTTAAATGGACAGTGAGATTAATTTTGTTGAAATTGAAAATAGCTTTGGCAATAACATTATAACGGTGAGATTAAAATTAATGTTGAGGATATATGCGTGAATGTAAACGTAATAATAACGGTAAGATTGGATATGCTAGGTGCTGCTTTTTTGACGGAAGGCAGTCAACTATCATAATTAAAAATTGTTTTCATTTTCACTTTTACATTAGGGCAGTCAAAGTGGCCTAAATCCAGTGCACTGGAATCCAAACTAGTTCTAAATCTCTTTTAATAAATGATATTGTGGTTGCTAACAACGAAAAGGTGCGGATTCAAGGCATTGGGAGTGTTCGTCTTAGATCTCACAAGGGTGTTGTTAAGATTAGAGCTGTGGTGAGCTGTGCTGATCCCTAACAAGTGATATCGGAGCGAGGTTCGAAGTTTGAGATTCATGAGAAAAGCTGAAGGTTCGAGTCATAGGAAGAGGCAACTCCAAAGGAGCTCGATTCAAGAAAAGAGTGAATTCATGTTTTGATAATTGAGAATCAATTTGCATGAAGCGTGAAGACATACAAAGAAGATATGATTGTGAGACTTTTATTGCAGGTGAAGCCAAGCATGTCTAACATGAAGACTGATGATTTGATAGAATTTGAGTCAAGGTGGAGATTGTTGAGAATAGTGACTCAAATCCCATAAGAAATTTGTTTGAGATTTGTTAGATATTGCTTGATGTACAATAAGACTTGCAGAAGAATAATTTTAAAAGAAAATGGATTCTTAATAAGTAAGATTATATGCTTATAAATAGGTAAAATCTCTATTAGGTTGGGTATGAGAAAAAAATAAGAGAGTTGTAGGGTTTTATAGGTAGACACCTCATAAGACTACTGAAGATTTACATCTCATATATGTGTATGGGTGTGTATGTTTGTTTGTGAGTAGACTAAAAGAGATTGAAAGAATCCATATAGGTATGATGTATGGATGCTTATAGGTATGTGTTTGGTTGTGTTGAAAGTGTGCACATGAGAATGTGTTTGTTTGGGTTAAAAATACTCTATAGGACTACAGGAGATTGAGAGGGTCTATGAGTATTGATTGTTGAGTAATTGATATGTTTTGATATATATTTATAATTCTCTACAACTAGTGTATCTTGTTTTTTATTCGTAAACGTAAATCAGTTAAATTGAACCACATTAAATTATTTTCTCTTATGTGCTTGATTAATTGATTAATCGTTTAATTTCGCTTCCGCTGGTGTGATTGGATTGTGGCTTTTAGCTTAACAAGTGGTATTGGAGCTGTGTTGATCCCTAATAGTTTGAACCTTTTTTTCTAAAATCTTGAGCACAATTTCAAGAAAACATGCTTAACTTCGTTTATGATGCATACAATGATAAAAGTGGAATTTTAGATGTGCTTGAATCACTTCAAATGAAGAAGTGTCAAACAGGGGAGAAGCTCTCGAACTAAAAGCTTATCGAGCAAAAAACAGGTATTGTTTCAACAATGCGTTATGTCTCCATCTGTGTATTTACATGTATGTGCTTGTACAGAAGGGACGTGAGCACACATGCATGTTCTATATGATGTATCTGTGCTTTAAGAATCAACTAAAAGGATTTTCTCTCCTTTTTTCTTTACTAAAAATGAAGGTATTTTGTCCACCATGAAGATTGTTCAGATATTCTAGACTGGATAAGAGGGTGAAGAGCTAAACTTGTTCTTTCAGCTTGATGTGACTCCATTGAACTGGACATCACACATCCCTTTCAACAACCTCCAAGTTGTTTTCTAATGTGTGATTTTAGAGTAGTCTTTCTAACAATCTGTTGAATCTTTCTTGAGTATTCTGTTTACGACTCCCTGATATTTTCCTGCAGTGAGCCTCATTCATTCTGTCAGCTACCCATTGTTTAACAAGTCATCTTCAGTTTGGAACTCATATTCATAATCTATCCGGAAATGAAGGAATTGTGCATGTGAGTTCATGTTTGTATTTACCTGAATAGTGTTATATATTTTCTTTCCATGCCTTCTCTTTATATGTTAATCAGATTGTGACCGAGCACTGCATTGAATAATTTTATTTATTTCATTTGTATAAACATATAAATTAATTTTTTTTTGAAATTATATTCAAAATTTCTAAATTTATAACATATAAAAAATTTTATATCTGGGCTAAGTTGTCAGAAAAATATATATTTTTTTAAAAAAGTATGAAGAAAATGACATTTCTTTATTTTTCACCATTTTTATTTTCAATAATATTTATATATTTAAATTTTATATCAAATAAAAATAAATTATATGTTTTTCTTAAAAAAACAAAAACATGTTTATTATCAAATGATAAATTAAATAATAAAAAAAGTATAGGCATATTTTTACTGTTGTAATCTTATTTAAATTGCTCTACAAAATATGAAAAGATGTTAAGAGATATATGAAAAAAAAAGAAAAATAAATAAAAGTATTAATTTTCATAAAAACAAATTTGCAATAGAATATACCTTGAAAAAAGAAAGATGCAAATAGAAAAAATATTTTACAATAGCAATAGTTTCTAAAAGGTTGCAAATCAAAAATTAAAAAAATAATATAACACATTACATTTATAGTCTTTAATTTATAGAATAACTCTTGAATGATATTTAGAATTGAATAGACAAATTTTAAATTTATATTTAAAAAATTTTAAAAGGATATAATAAATCATAAAAATAAATAAAAAATTTTTGTCTAATTTTTTAAATATAAAATTGATAGTTAGAGTTAAGATGGATATAGATCCTCTTATTTAGAGATTAAATATGAAAATAATATTTGAATTTTCAATATTTTACATAAATTTTTGAAAAGATAATTTTTGTTTGATAAAAATTAAGATAAAAAAATATAATGAGTTTTTGAAAGATTCCGATAAACTTAATCTCTATAGTTTTAAAATATGTTAAAAGATTTTCCCAATTAAATAATTTATAAAATAAATGTTATTTGGTAAAAAAATTAAAATTATTTGGAATAAAATTCATATTTTAAATTTTTAGTTTAAAAAAACATATATCTAGATTAATTTGATTTACAATTATAATTTGATTAATTTTGATATTTGAATAAATTCATGATTGTCCAATTTGTAATTAAAAGAAGTTATATCTTTAAAAAAAAAAAACTATTTTACATGTTATTGAAAGAAGTTATCTATATAAACGTTCATATGGTAACTTTTATCGGCTATCTATGTATATTATAATATAATAATATATATAACTAGTTTTTAACCCTTGCAAATGCATGGGATTTTTATATTTATAATAATATTTTATTTAATTCAATAAATATCTACATAAAATGTTTGTAGATTCAAAATTTTATTTTTATCACTAAATATTATATTTTCTCTTTTTTATTTTTAATTAAATTTATATATTTAATGTTAAAAATTTTTATTTGATTTTTAATTTCATAAATTAAAAGTACAAAATTCCAAAATAAAGAAATAATTTATCAACAAAAATTTTAAATAACTTTTTGACCTCCCTCTTAATTTAGAAAAGTATATTAGTAAATATTTAAAATATTAAATTTTTAATTAAATTCATTTCATAAATTTGATTGCTTAATTGGTAAAAAAAGGTAAATTTGCTATATATATATATATATATAAAAATAAAGGTTTACATAAAATGTAAATGTAGTAAATATTTAGGGATCCTAGGAAATTATAAGAAAAATTGATAATTAAGATAAAGTATAACTGCAATTTAATGATAAAATTGATAAAAAAAAATTTTTAAATTGAAGATAAAAATATTATTTAAGAAGTCGAATAGAGAAAAATTCATCAAATTTTAAACCATTCCTCAATCCCCTAAATGTTTATCTTTTCCATGTGTGCATGCACTTATGAATAATAAAAAAAAAGAATGATCAAAAACTTCAATTTAAATTTTTTTCACCATAATATAATAGAATTTAGAGTAGCAGCAATATGACTTATATATATATATATTAATAAAAAATTATATAAAAATTAAGAAATGAAAACTTTTTAGAAAGTAAATCAAATACTCAATGAAACAAAAAAAATGCTTCTTTTTTCTTAGAAGATCCATTATTTATTCTAATTGATCGTATAAATCATTGTAAAAAGAAAATAAGAATAGAAAATTTTAAGGGAGGAAATAAAGTTTTAAAAATATATATGAATGAAAAAAATACTTTTAGATGAAGAATTTGAAAAAAAATCTGAAATGAAAAAAGTAAAAAAAAAAGAGTTTTAGATAAAATAGAATAGCAAAAATCTATTATGTTTGTAATTCTATATTAAGTATTTTGAAATATAAATACTTGAACATGATTTTATCCATTTATTTAAATAGGAGTTTTTATCTACTTATTTAACTAGATATTCTAAAAAATGTATTAAGATGAATATTTTTAAGTCTTTAAATCAAAATTTTTAAATAGTAATTTATGATGCTCTTATTAATTTAAATAAATTTGAATGTTTTTAGTGGATTTGAATAATATTAAATAAAATAAATAATCATATATTATTTTGTCTGATTGCAAATTAATATTTGAATATTTATTATTTTTTAATTATTTAGTTTAAAATTTTTTATATTTAATTATTTTGATAATATATATTATAATTATTTATTATTATCTTACGTGTTATTTATAAAAATTATCCACTTAAATATGCACATAAATAAATTTTATCAGATTTATATATATATTATAATATAATATTATATATGATTCAAAAAACCAATTGCTTGTAGTAATATCAGATAAAGTACATAAAGTTATAACTTGAAAATGATAACAAAAATTTTATCCAAAAAAAAAATTCACGTACTGAGATAAGAGGAGATTATTTAAAATTTAAATCTAAATTTATTAAATGCAACATTTTAAAAATAATTTTATGAATGTTTTAAATATGATTTTACGAATCAATTGACTTCTTTTAAAAAAATTGCATTATGCTTTAACTTGAAATTCTTTAAAAAAAATTTTCTGTCTTTGTGCTTTTGGGTACCGAAAATTTCTGCTCAGACTTTGATGGTATCATGCTGGGAGCTGGTTAATGCAACAAGGTTTTACGGCAGTTTCTCTACCCACTATTCTCAGCGCCTTTCTTTTTCTTCTTGCTGACAAGATAAAGCTTTAAAGTGAACAGAATCTGGCATCTTGGTTGAGATGCGGGGAAAGATGCCAAAGGCCAATGTTGAATATTTATTAGTTGGGTTACCAAAAACAATGGCACAGACACGAGGCATGCATTCCCCAATGGCTCTACCCACCCCAAAAAAAAGTTGGCATTTGGGGCAGATTAGCCTCAATTCTTGCTGTATTCTTATTTATGTATGGTAAAAGGGTTAACAAAAAAAAAAAAAACCCTCGAATTAAAATTTAATAATCAGCTAAATTTTAGAGAAGAAATATTTTTTTCAGTCAAATAAATAATATGATGAAATTTTTAATAAATTAAAATTTTCAAAAAAATCTAAGCTTTTATTTTTTTTACAATTAATTAAACCTTCAAACTTTTAATTTTATCAATTAAGCTTTTTTTAAAAGAAAAATTATTAATTGTTTTTGTCTAATTGAAAATCTAATTAAATAACTTGAATAAAAATAAATGTATAAAGATTCAAATTGGATAAAAAAAAATATTTAAAAATTTAATTAATTTAAAATTTAATCGATTGTAATAAAATTTCAATGATTTAATTAATAAATGGTTTTGATTTTTTGTTTGAAAGCTTTTTTCCCTTAAAATTTTATTTATTTATAAATATTTATAATTCTTGATTTTTTAAATTTCAATACAACTCAATAGTTTTATAAAATAATTATATTTAATAAAATTAGGATTCAAATATCAATATTTATAATTTTTAATATTTTCATATTATAATTTTATTTGTAAAAATAAAATTGAATTTTTTTACTAAAAAAATGAAAAATTTAATGAACAATAAAGATATCTAACAATCATATAAGCCAGCAAAATGTTACAAACACAATTTTTTTGTATATAAAGTAAAAGGACTAAAAAGGAAAATTAAAACTTTAAACCAATAAACATGAAACAACCTTTTGACCGCCAGTGAAAAACAGTAAAAAAGTAAAATTCAGTCCACTTATTTTCACCGCTCATTCACTCATAAATACAGATCAGCTAAACCTAAAACCTTAAAAACAAACCCCAAAACCTAAAAAAAAAACTTTTTTCTCTCGCTTTTCGGTTTCAACACTCTGCAAATATGTTTCGATTCGTAGCTCGATCGGCTGCCGGCAAGCACCTCCTCCGCCGAGGATATGCCACTGAATCCGTACCCGACCGGAAAGTCGCCGTCTTGGGCGCTGCTGGAGGGATCGGCCAGCCCTTGGCTCTTCTCATGAAGCTTAACCCTCTTGTTTCTCAACTTGCTCTCTATGATATCGCTAACACTCCAGGCGTTGCGGCTGATGTCAGCCACGTCAACACCAGATCTGAGGTCCATACAAAAAGAATTCATCCTTTTTTATTGAATCTAAATATCTAATTTTTTAGATTTACTATATAGTAAAATATTAAATTGATCTAATATTTTGTAAAAGGGGTTTCACTGTATTGATTTAGTGTTTGTTCCATGCTTAGCTGTTATGTTATCGTCTTTATGAAAGTGTATTTGTGAATCTATTAATAAATCTGATTGAATTTGACTGGTTTGCTATTTTGAAAAATAACCTTTTTATTTTGCATAATGTGTGTTTGTGTGTCTTTTGGTTCGGCGTGGTTAATTGCTTTTGCTGTTTTCTTGAAAGGATTTAAGGTTTTAAAGTTTCGGGTCCAGTTGTATGCTTATCAGATGCTTGTTGGTGTCCGTTTGACTGCTAATTAGTCTCTGATTCTATGTTCATTACTTGCGTTTTTTATCTCTTCAGGAAATTTAAGTAATTGTGCTATGTATATGAGCTTGATATAGCTGTCTTAGTTTCATGTCATTAATCTATACATATATTCAAATATTTTATGTCTGTTTGGCTTACCTGATTTTTTTTTTTAGCTTTTCTGTATTTTTTATGGCTTCATCAGTTTATTTATTTGTCTTTGATTCTTGCTTGTGCCTCCATCCTTAATTTGGTTTAATTGAACTCCTCTGTTTTTCTACCTGATTATTCTTTCTTCATCTGCATTTTGCTGTGATTCCTATTCATTTGATAATCTCATGTGCCTTAATTTCTATCACCTTTATTTCTTTAGCAACTTAAATCTTTTTCTTTTTGTTTGTTTAAGGTTGCTGGATATGTTGGTGAAGAGCAATTGGGGAAAGCTTTGGAGGGTTCTGATGTTGTCATCATTCCCGCTGGGGTGCCAAGAAAGCCTGGTATGACTCGTGATGATCTTTTCAACATCAATGCTGGAATTGTCAAGGGTCTATGTGCTGCTATTGCTAAGTATTGCCCCAATGTGAGTGTCTATCTTTTTTCTTTTAATTGGAAAAATGATTTTATTATGGATCTTTGATGCTTCTAAGAATTTAGTTAGTTTGGTTCTATTTTTTGTATATGACGATTAAAGTGAATCTTACCAAAGTGTGATAACTGTGGATGTGATAGAAGCTAAAACTGGACTTTAAAATCTGATTTAGTGTCAAGTTCTATTTCATCAACTGATCATCATACTTTTCTCTCTGATGCTTAAAATGTAATAGACAATTTTGATAATTGAAAAGTATTGATTATCTTCAAAGAGTTATTGCTTTCTGTTGTGAGCTTTTATGAGACTGTAATGATTTTTTCTAACTTTTTGATAAACCAAATTTATGGCCCAGGCACTTGTTAATATGATTAGCAACCCTGTGAATTCAACCGTTCCAATTGCAGCCGAGGTTTTCAAGAAGGCAGGGACATATGATGAGAAAAAGTTGTTTGGTGTAACTACCCTTGATGTGGTTAGGGCTAAGACTTTCTATGCTGGGAAGGCTAAAGTAAATGTTGCAGGTTTGTTTAATTTCTACTTATTGAAATTTTCTCATATACTGCTATAAAGAAAAAGGGAAAAAACTAATTCACATCTCCCTACCCCTTACTTTGAAACTGTCGTTTGGGAAGAATAAGCAAAATTCTTAGTTGAGATTTATTGAGGGTTTCTGGGCCCAGAAATGAAGCTTTTTAAGTAGATTTCTTTTCTCCTTCATGAAATGTCTTTTGACCCTATGTACATCATAGCATAAGAAAATTTGGATTATATAAGGAACTTGACTGTTGACTAAGGATCTTCACTTTCTTGCAGATGTTAATGTCCCAGTTGTTGGTGGCCATGCTGGAATAACCATTCTCCCTCTATTTTCCCAAGTACTTCCTTCTTTCCGTTATGAGGGTTATCATTGATTTTATTTCATATGAGATTGTTGGCTCCTCCTTTCAGTTTTCAGTTCTTGTTAATCATATTGGCTAAATTTTTTTAGGCCACACCAAAAGCCAATTTGGCTGAAGAGGATATTAAGGCTCTCACAAAGCGAACACAAGATGGAGGCACTGAAGTTGTGGAAGCAAAGGCTGGAAAGGGTTCAGCAACATTATCAATGGCGTAAGTATTAGTTATCATTTCTTCACTTGCAGGTTTTGATATCCTTGCAATTGTATAGTCATAAAATGGAAGCATATGATTTTAGTTGCATCATTTGAGCCCGACTTAGTTGTCATGTATTGTTTCTTTGCGCAGATATGCTGGAGCCATTTTTGCTGATGCTTGCCTTAAGGGACTTAATGGTGTTCCTGATGTTGTGGAATGTTCATTTGTGCAGTCAACTGTCACTGAACTTCCTTTCTTTGCTTCTAAGGTAATTGTCCTTGACACATTGTTAATTTGTTCAAAGGGCCTTTCACCCTCATTAAGTTTTTGTCTCCTCTTCTTATTGCAGGTAAGGCTTGGAAAGAATGGAGTGGAGGAAGTTTTGGGATTGGGTCCTCTCTCTGACTATGAGAAGGAAGGCTTGGAAAACCTTAAGCCAGAACTGAAAGCCTCTATCGAGAAGGGAATCAAATTCGCCAACCAGAGTTGATTGAAATTATTATGATTTCTTCCATTAGACCAATTAAACTTTTGCAGTTTTTTTGGCTGATTTGAATTTCTTGTTGCAAACAGCATCATCTTTGCTGTTCCTAATAGGATAGGCCTTGCATACCATAAGTTGCGAGCAATAATTTCCAGTGGTATGTTAACTGGGGAGGTTGATTAAAACATTTTCCAGTTGGGAATTCATTCATACAAGCATAAAGTTTTGTAGTCACATTTGCTCTTCCCAGATTGTAAAACTAGAATCTTTGTTGAAAAATTTTTCTTTATAACTTAGCGTAGCGTTTTTCATTTTTGTAAAATATTTTTGAAGATATATTTAACTTTTATTAAAACTCACAATATTCTGAAAAAGGAAGTGCTAATAATATATTTAATAATTCTAAATATAATGTGATGATGTGAAAAACAAAGAAAAATAAAGCTGTTTGAAATCTTTTAGTGAAAATTGTATAAATTTGAAAAAGTAAAAAAATGTGTTTGATATATTAAGATATAAATTTTAATGAAACTCGTAAGAAATTGATAAAAATTAAAAAATATATATTTATATATTTATCGTGTTAATATAAATTTTAATAAAATTTGTATGAAATTGATAAAAATTAATATTAAAAAATATAGTTAAATATGTGTCATGTTGATTTAATATTTTTATATATATTTAATATCAAATATATAATTATAAATGTAAGTATTTAGGACTGCAGACAAATCACTCTGTTTCTTATACCTCACGCTAAACCTGTCATTGGCATATAACGCAACATGTATAATAAGAGAACTTGAAGCTTCATGTCAGATGCTTCACTTAAAGGAAATTTCCTCTTAAACAATTTCTGTTTAATGGTGCAGGCATGCACAGAAGGAACGACGAAAACATAGGAGATAAGCAGCAAAAAGTGTATAGAGGATGATTATACCTACAGAAAACCTTCTTGCCACAACTATGTTAATCCATTATATTACAATTTGGCTCAAAAGGAAGATTACCTTTGAAACAACAAGATTCGCATGATGAAACTGAAAGAACCAGCTTTGCACAACTTTGAGTTATACAAAAAATTGAATGTTGCATGTCATTCATCCCTATTAAAAGGTTAGATTCAAAAGAGACTTTGTTATGCAGTTTGATGGTTCACTTGAAATGATAAGCAGAATCACATTTTAAAAGTTGTTGGTTGCTACTTGGTAATTGATCTTCAATTAGCCTCCATCTTTAAGATGATCTACAAAAGCAACAAGAAGCTTGTTAACTCAAGCCTAGTCTCAAAAGCAGAGAAACAAAGATACTGCATGATACATGTATCATCTAAAATAAACCAGCATCCATCTGATAGTTTCTAGCTCTACATTTATTATGTAAAATAAATCAGAATCTACATGATGTTTTCTAACTCTACCATGATAAACATATCATAACTACAGAGCATGTAGGTTAAGTCTGATTTAAGTTTGCTCTATTAGCCATGGGGAATATCAAACTCAAGAAGATAAAAAAAACTAAAGATTCACGTCAAGTTTAATTCCTCAAAATTAAAAAATGAACTCTGAATTGGGTATGCAGGGTTCTGATACAGAAATGGTGAAGGTATTAGTGATGTAGACGATCACCAATAGATACAAAGATCTGAAGTCAACATTTGTTGCCAGTAATAAGTTACTACTACTTCCTACTCAATAACACAGTGGCCAAGAATACTATCAAGGGTATATCATTGATTCCCTTTCCAAACTGCCTTTGCAATCATATTTATTCATTTAATAATATTGCTTCCCATATTGTGAGGAATGATGAGATAGATGGGCTCCACTTAAAAGCATAAAGGGGAAAGAGACTACTATTTAATTCCCATAGGGCTACAGCTTCTATTATGACCTTGAAAGGCAGGTTTCTAGTTTGGGTGACTTAATCTTTGGAAACTAATGGAAACTGCGTTTTCCCACTTAGAACAGCCAAATACCGATTGAAGTTGACAGTTGCAAAACTTCAGAATTTACTAACATAATGTCCATGAATGGAATTGGCTAATAAATGAAAAGTTTACTGTAGGTTTTCTTCATAAATCGTTTCTTTTTTTATTTTTTTTGAAAGTTACCACCTTTATTAATTTACACACAATTAAAGACTTAAGAAATATTATACTACAAAAATACTAATGGTAAAAATTGGGAAAAAAGAAAAGAACTTCAAATGATGCATATGATCCATGAGCAGAATGCAACAAGTACATTTGACCCCAAAAGTTCCCAAATGCTATCCAAGCATCTCTGACATGCATGGAATAGGTTCCTGCTACCGCTTCTAATAACATCAAAACTATCTTAGAACTCCTTTTTACGTCTTTTGATAACATCAGCTATTAGAGGCTCAATAGAGAAGAAAAAAAGTAATGACAAGTGGCATCTCAAATGGATATTTCAGAAACTAAGTACCCTCATGTCTTGATATATATTTCACTTGAAATTCAATACTAGTAACATAAAAAAATTGCACAACTTATGTGAGAAAGAATTAAAGAAAAAGTTCACTAGCCAAGATGATGACCTGTACCTCAGTTAAGTCCATTAAAAAACAAGGTGACCAGCTCACATTATCCAGATGAACTACCATTGTCAGAGTCTGCATGAAAGTATTAGCGTGAAAAATCTGGCATATATACACTTACAAACAAAGGAAAAACATTAATGTTTACCACTTGATGAGGATCCAGAGTCACTGCTAGAACTGCTTGAACTACTTGATCTACTCTCGTTAGTTTGTAGCCTTTCTCCATGAATTGAAGGTGATGTGGAAACAATCCTCTCCACTGCTAAACAATCCAACCAGTTTTAATAATGAGTGCGTGACAATTTTGTCTTCTTCAGAACCAAACAAGTGAGAATAGACCAAAGCAGAGTAAATTCTAGTTGATAGTGATTACCTGTTTCAGGCACTTTTCGTACCTCTGCAGCAGGTGGCTCCAGATTCTGCAAAAAGAATCACAACAAAGAGTTCCAGGGAACAACAATTCTAAAGAGGCAAAACAGTTAGATGTTTATGCATCACTTGTTTATAATCTTACAGTCTCCTGAATATTATGGTCATTTTCTGCATTTGCTTGAAGAACAACTTCAGCTTTTTTCTTGTTTTTGCTCCAACTCTTCTTATAGTTGGTCACAAATCTATCAAGTTCCCAAAGCGTTTGAGGATCAACACTGTCAATATCCACCTCAATCTCATCTTCTTCCTGAAAAAGTGCTTGGTTCCTCTTCTTAATAATCTGGACAATGCTATCGAGTTTTTCTGAAGGCAAGTTCTGAAGGTTTACACTGAGTCTCTGCTTCTCCTCAAACGTCATATCCCTCTTATCAGGATCCTTTGCCTTGGATTTCTGTGGTACTGCCATCCTACCCGTAGGAGTCAAGTCCACAGCTCTTGAATTGGGATCAACAGGAATTGTCATGGATTCTGATCTTTCCAGAGTCCTAGCTTCTAATGGTACTGGTGCAGGTGCAGGTGCAGGTGCCGAAGCAGAAGCAGGAGCAGGAATAGGAGAGGCATGAGCTTGAACTGGAGCAGGAGCAGGAATTCTCCTTGATGTAGGAGTTGGCAAACTGTAATCATAACTCCTTTCAAACCTCCTACCAAGATTATACTCAGACTCTATAGCTGCCCAGTTTTCTGCAAATATACCTGACAATGTATCAGCCATAGAGTACACATCCTGTCCTTTGGGGTTATACAGCATAGCATTACTGAAAGTTAGTCTTACATCCTCTGCAAACTCCATGGGTGACTTGTACCAATTCTTGTTCAACCTAGTCTTCACCGTACCCAAATCCATAGGATGCTTAACAATTGAATAATAATCATGTAACCCGAGTCCCTTCACATCCACTGGTTTATTAAACACCCAACCAAACTTATGTTTCATTAACTTTCCTAACAAATTGCTACAACTCTTAAACAACTTACATGAAAACTTCTCCGTTGCAATCCCACCTCCCATTTGACCACCATTACTCTTCCCAACATTCTTTTTAATCTTCTTATTACTCTCCATAGGTTTTAACTTCTCCTTCCCTACAGCAAACTTCGAATTCTTATAATACTGATTTGCCTTTGGGGTTCTCTTCTCTTTCTCCACAAACTCACTCCCACCACCACCATGGTTACTATAATCATGCTCTGTCACTGACACAGATAATCCATGAAAAGGCCTTGAACTAGGCAATCCTACAGAACCAACATCAGAATTCACTCTAACTAAACTTCCACCACCTCTATCAACATTCTCATTCCCTGAAACCTGCGAATTCGCATAGCCCCCACTAAACCTACTTTCGCTAGCCTCAAATTTCTTAAGCAAACCCCTAACTTGCTCAAGCTCAATAGCTAACTTCCTCTTCAGAACTCTAACCTTACTTTTAGACAAAACATTCAAGCTAATCTTAAAAAGGTTATCATATTTACCATACCCAGCGTTTTCAAGCCCGTTGGTGGCATTCTGCGCACCCTGCTGCAACCGATTATGGCTCGACGAATCGTCTGACGCCACGACATCGAGGATTTGTACTGGCAGATGCTGATAGGAGTTGTTATCATCAGTTGTAGTGGTAGTGGCTTGAGTTTGCTGAGAAGATTGTTGAGGCACAAAGGTGAGATTTTTGGGTTTATTGTGGTTTTTTCTAGTATAAACTCTGTTGTCCTTTGATTCTTCACCTTCAATTTCCCCCGTATCCATTCATGTAAAAAAAAAAAAACAGAAAGAGAGAGAGAGAAAGAACCCAAAAAAATCAAATTTTTAAAGAAAACAAAGGGGAAAACCCTAATTTCGAGAAATACCCAGATAGGCTAAAGGCTTAAAAATGGGGGGTTTTAGGGTTTATGTTGGGATTGTAGGGAAAGGTGACGCTTTTTGAGAGAGAGAGAGAGAGAAAAGGGAAATAGACTTTTGTTTGGAGAGAGGTAAAGAAACTTTAGAACTATCAAACAAGTTAGTAAAAGAAAGAAAATGAAAAAGAAAAGAGAGGCTTTTAAAGAAAAGGAAATGATAATTTCTTCCCATGATTAAAATAACTAAAAAAAAGAAATGCTTGATTATAATATTTGTCTGGTTAGTTTGTGAAAAGATAAAAAAAAATTATATTATATTGTTTTTAAATAAAATATTTTTTTATTATGTGAATAATCTTTATATCAACTATTTTAAAAACTTTTAAAATTTAATAAAAATAATTTTAATTAAAGAGAATATTATTAATAATTAATTTATAAAAAAATATGTTTAGAATTATTTTTATACTATAATATTTTTTTAAAATTAATCCATAAATGAAAAAAATTAAATATTTAAATATTTATTATTAAGATAAAATTAACCATAAAATTTTAAGTATTAACATTTTACTATCATTGTATATGTTTTTTCATATTCTTTTATTTTTTATTATTTAGAATTTGTAAAGTCATAACAAAATTAAAAAAAAAAAAAGCCTAAGCATAAATTAAAAATATATAAAATTCAAAGTTATTGACAAAAAAATAGTTAAGAAATGAGTTACAAAAACTTTAAAGGTAGCATCAATAATTAACATCAATGGTTAAGATTAAATATTATAATAATATTTTTTAAAAAAATAATAAAATATAACAAAGATATAAAAGTTATTTTATATTTAAAAATTTTTAACCCTTTCATGCTCAAATTCCTTTCATTTCTTTATTAAAATATAAATGATAAACCAAACATAGAAAAGATTTTCTTATTTTCTTTGCTTTTCTTTCCTTTTTCTTCCTTTTCCTCACCTTCCCTCTATCCAAACATAGCCTTAGGATTTTGGATTTTTTTTTTTTTGAAAATTTAAAGGGATTCGATCTGTATTAACTTTGTTTCTTTTGAGTTAAATTGTACAATATATTCTTATTCTTTAATCAAATGGCTGAATTAATACATTTAAATTGAATCATGATATTTTAATAAATTATTAACAGCTTAAAAATTTTTATGCTAAAATTGATTACGTGGCATTTGACTTTTCTAATGTGTCACTTTTGCTTATGTAATTATTGATTTTGTTGACGTGTTATTTTTGCTTATATGGTTATTAATTTTGTTAATATGTCAAGTTTACATGGTCAAAGAGAATGATATGGTAAAATTTTTTGACATGTTAGTATTTTTCTATGCCAATTTTTTTAAATTGTATGATTTATCTTAATACTTTAATGGTGGAATTAATCCTTTTACATTAATGTGTGTTCAAATTTGATTCCTATACATCATTCAATTATTGAATTTAAGATTTTAATTTAAAATAAGTAAAATAAAACTAAAATAAAATACAAAAACTCTTTTTAAAAGCAAATAGATCGAGTTGTAATAAAGTTAATGCAATGCACATGTTAACATGTAAATTGCACTAGATTTATTTTCTAAAACAATGTCATTTTAATCTATTATAAAAATAATAAAATAATTTTTAAAATTTTTTTCTTTTTCCCTCTCCTATCTCATTTTTCTCTTACTTCTCTTTACAAATCTCATTTAATAAACTCTAGGATTTTTAGAAACCAGTGATTGAAAATTTTAATGATTATAAAAAAAATTTATCTTAAAAATTCAAAACTTACGAATACCTAAAAGTTAGGGATGACAATGGATAACGAATAAAATGGATATCCATCATTATCCAATATGTTTATATCGGATTTGGATAGTTATAAATAGATAATTAATGGATTTATGTAAAAGATTTATTATTAGTGACAGATTCAGGGCAAATACAAATAGTATCTCTTGGATATTCAATATCCAAATCTATTTAAGTTTTAATAAATAATAATAGATATCCGAATTTGTTAATTGTTTTCATATGTAAAATATATAAAATTTTATGCTTTAGACGGTTTTGGACCCTAAAAAATAACTTTTATTTATTACTAATTAAGAGTAAGCTTGAATTTTAAATTAAATTCTTATTTGTTTTATATTTTGACAAAAAATTTAAATAAATGGATATTTTAACGAATTCAGATATTTAAATAGATAATACTTATTTAAATGGATTCGATTTTAGATAATGATATTAAACTTAAATGAATTTTTAAATAGATTCAAATTTTATAAACATTAAACTATTCGGATCAAATATTTTTGAAATAGTGGATATGTGCTTCATTGCCATTCCTACCAAAAATCAACCACTAACACCACCGCTTTTGTATTATCATCTAAAGCAAAATTGAGCATAATGCCTTAAAATTTCTAAACCTAAAACCTCTAGAAAAAAATTCTTCAACCAAAAAATTATTCTAATTGTTTTTTTTTTTTGTTGTTTTTATTTTTCCTGTGTTATGTTGTCGATTGCTGTTGGATTCTCAAATTTTCTCCAAATCAATCTTTCTAAAAAACTTTCATATTTTCCTTTTTTTATTTTTGATTTTTCCTTTTTGTTACTTTAACTTCTTGACTTTCATCAACTAAATAATAAAAATAAAATAAAGAAAATAACAAATAATAAATAAAATACTTTTGGATCATTAAATTTGGGCTTAAAATATAATTTTGGAATTAAAACCCAATAGATCCAAAAATGATTTTAGAACCCAATATAGAGATGAAAGTCGAAGCCCATTTAATATCGAAAAATTTTCAGACAAAATGAGATGTCTACAATTACTTTTAGAGTGTATTTGATTTGAGAGAATCCATAATTTTTTTTTGGAATCTTGATGGTGGATATATATTTCTCACATTTGGTTAAAGATAATCCGATTATCAAAGAAAATGTCAGATTTCTAACAGTACCTAAAGTTTTGAAAAAAAAAATCTACCTCTCCCTATAGTATTTTAGGATTCCGATGGAAAAAAATTACCTTATTTTCAAATTTAATCTGAATAAAAAATTGATCACATATTTGTTATCCTTTTAAAAAGAAAATCTAAAATGCCTTTGTAGCTTTTTTTAAAAAAAATTTGTCTTATTTATAATTTATGTTGCAATCAAGTCGTTTCTTTCTTAAAATATCAATTGTCAATTAAGAGGTTTCAAAAAGAAATGCCTTAATTGATATATACATAAGGTAAATAGTATCGTATCTCATTCTCCACATGTAAAACCAAATTATTTAGGAGTTTCCTTCTTATTAAAACTTTGGAAATTATTACCTGATTTTCAGTCCTATGAAATCCCATACCATATCACCTGTAAATTTTGCTGGAATTTGGTTGCCATGTTTAGCATGTCCCATCCTATCCATATGGCAACTCATATCTGCATTGCATTGGGATAATACTAAAAATTAAAATAACATTTTAATTTTTTATTACATATGAAATTAAGATTATAAATTTTTATGTTATTATAATAATAATTTTGACATAATAAAAAATATTTTTGTTAACTTAGTAATCTATAAAAAAAAATTTGGAGAAGATTAAGTTGTTAACCACCAGCCACTAGGTGTTTGCTTTTTTGCTTGTTCAAAAATTTTACCTTTTTCAGTTGCTCTATCTATTACACCGGGTTGTGTAATTTTGTCTTGCCATTCTTCCTCGGATTGGCATAGCTTGTCACAGCATAATTTAATTGCTCTCCCTAAAACCTATTTATTTTAAATGAAGATGAGAATAAGATATTCTATAATGAAGTCTTGTCAATTGAGGAGAGAAAAAATTTATAATAAATCATATGATTAAATCCCTTAATTGATAAGTAACTAAGGTGTTTCTAACAATAAACGTCGTATTTGCTAAAAGTTTTCAACCAATTACGGTGTTCACTGTCTAAAATGCTTTAATTGACTTGAGCAAATAATGTTTTCAACCCAAAAACGCTTTAATTGATTATGTGTTCAAAGTATTATGAAATGTATCAATTAAGATGTTTAAAGTAACGAACGTCTTAATTAATGATGTTTTAAATAATATAAAATTATCAAATAAGTCATTCATATTAACAAATGCCTTATTTGATGTTATATAAATTATAGAACTAATAATTAAGTCGATCATATAAACCAAACGCCCTTAATTGATGATTTTTATACATTAAAACAACAATCAACTAAAATATTTGTTTTCTTTTGTTGCTAAAAGTATTATTTGTCATTTGGGTATTTTATTATTAATAAAACAAAATAAAAGATTGCCTTAAGCTTGTAAAAAAGATTATGGTAATTATACAATAATTAATAAATGTGGATTCTCTTTAATCAAACGAGTGAATTTGAATACGAGATACTCATAATATCAAACAAAACCATGAGTATCGCACTTTTTCTGGATATCACACTTTTTTTCGAAATCTAAAATTTTATGAACTAAATGCCCCATATTATTGAATGTGTATCTAGGTTTGTTGAGTTTGTTGATTATAGGTTTTTTTTATCTAACTTCTATATTTTTGTCATTCTTTAAAGTTTTATATATATATTTATTTATATTTCCAAAATGTTGAAAATAGAAATTAAAAAAATTAAAAAATCAAAATCAAAATAAATAAATAAAGATAAAGAAAATATATAATTAAGTTTATATTGTGCTTATAATCTAATTTGATATTAACTCAATTTGTCATCTTAAGTCTAATTAATAAGTCAAATATCTAAAAAATTTATCTAAATATGAAAAAAATATCATGGTTGAATTAATAATTTATATTTTTATGTGTTATTTTAGGTTAAATCTTAAATTCGATAATAATTGATGTATAAAAATCAAATTTAAACACTTATTAAAATAGAAGAATTAATTCTATTATTTAATTAAAGTATCGAAAATGCATACAATTTGAAAAAAGCTTACATGAAAAAATGTTGATAAGTCAAAAAATTTTACTACATCATTTTCTTTAACTACATGATCTTAAACATTAGCAAAATCTGCTAAAATCAACTATCACCTTATAAAAGTTAAAATATCACATTATAAAAATTAAAATATCACGTTATTAATTTTAATGAAAAAAATTTTATCAATTAATAATTTGATTAAATTTAATAATTAATTAAAATATAAAAATTTAATTTAAATACATTAAAATAAGAAGATTAAT